TGGAGTGGCTCCTTAGTGTTGAGGGGGCTGAGCCCCGGGTTTGGCTCCTCAGGGTTCAGGGGGCTGAGCCCCGGGAGTGGCTCCTTAGGGTTCAGGGGGCTGAACCCCGGGTTGAGCTCCTCAGGGTTCAGGGGGCTGAGCCCCGGGTTGGGCTCCTTACGGTTCAGGGGGCTGACCCCCGGGTTTGGCTACTTAGGGTTCAGGGGGCTGACCCCCGGGTCTGGCTCCGTAGGGTTCAGGGGGCTGATCCCCAGGTTTGGCTCTTTACGATTCAGGGGGCTGACCCCCGGGTGTGGCTTCTAGGGTTCAGGGGGCTGACCCCCAGGTTGGGCTCCTTAGGGTTCAGGGGGCTCACCCCCGGGTTTGGCTCCTTAGGGTTCAGGGGGCTGATCCCCGGGTATGCCTCCGTATGGTTCAGGGGGCTGACCCCCGGGTATGGCTTCGTAGGGTTCAGGGGGCTGACCCCCGGGTTTGGCTCTTTAGGGTTCAGGGGGCTGACCCCCGGGTATGGCTCCGTAGGGTTCTGGGGGCTGACCCCCGGGTTTGGCTCCGTAGGGTTCAGGGGGCTGACCCCCGAGTATGGCTTTGTAGGGTTCAGGGGGCTGACCCCCGGGTCTGGCTTCGTAGGGTTCAGGGGGCTGACCCCGAGTATGGCTTCGTAGGGTTCAGGGGGCTGACCCCCGGGTTCGGCTCCTTAGGGTTCAGGGGGCTGACCCCCGGGTTTGGCTCCTTAGGGTTCAGGGGGCTGACCCCCGGGTTTGGCTCATTAGGGTTCAGGGGGCTGAGCCCCGGGTATGGCTCCGTAGGGATCAGGGGGCTGAGCCCCGGGTATGGCTCCTTAGGGTTCAGGGGGCTGACCCCCGGGGTGGCTCCTCAGGGTTCAGGGGGCTGAGCCCCGGGTATGGCTCCTTAGGGTTCAGGGGGCTGAGCCCCGGGTATGGCTCCGTAGGGTTCAGGAGGCTGACCCCCGAATATGGCTTCGTATGGTTCAGGGGGCTGACCCCCGGGTTTGGCTTCGTAGGGTTCAGGGGGCTGACCCCGGGTTTGGCTCCTTAGGGTTCAGGGGGCTGAGCCCCGGGTTTGGCTCCGTAGGGTTCAGGGGGCTGACCCCCGGGTTTGGCTCCTTAGGGTTCAGGGGGCTCAGCCTTGGGTACGGCTTCGTAGGGTTCAGGGGGCTGATCCCGAGTATGGCTTCGTAGGGTTCAGGGGGCTGACCCCGGGTTTGGCTCCTTAGGGTTCAGGGGGCTGAGCCCCGGGTTTGGCTCCTTAGGGTTCAGGGGGTGACCCCCGGGTTTGGCTCCTTAGGGTTCAGGGGGCTGACCCCCGGGTTTGGCTCCTGAGGGTTCAGGAGGCTGAGCCCCGGGTTTGGCTCCGTAGGGTTCAGGGGGCTGACCCCCGGGTTTGGCTCCTTAGGGTTCAGGGGGCTGAGCCTTGGGTACGACTCCGTAGGGTTCAGGGGGCTGACCCCGAGTATGGCTTCGTAGGGTTCAGGGGGCTGACCCCCGGGTTTGGCTCCTTAGGGTTCAGGGGGCTGACCCCCGGGTTTGGCTCCTTAGGGTTCAGGGGGCTGACCCCCGGGTTTGGCTCCTGAGGGTTCAGGTGGCTGACCCCGGGTTTGGCTCCTTAGGGTTCAGGGGGCTGACCCCCGATTTTGGCTTCGTAGCGTTCAGGGGGCCGAGCCCTGGCTTTGGCTTCTTAGGGGCCAGGATTGTGGTTCCGTCCTCGTAATGAGTTGCCTGAAGTCAATGATTCGCCTTCAAATGGCCGGGTATGCAAAATTACTGTCTTGATGGACGATTAGTGGTATCAGAATTTTGCATTAAGTCTGCGGACTCATTTGAAGGCGTTCTTCTGTATCCACTTCGAGTGGACTTTTAGAATGATTTTTACGAAAATGTTCATCGATCTGGGCTCAAATCGAGCTGCATATCCGAAAAATGCCGAGGAAAATTATTTTTATAAAATAACTAGATTTCTTTCGGTCGCTACGTCTCATTTCGATGAAGAGAGCGCAGGCGGCTGGATCAGATTGTTTTTTTTAACTCTCTTAGTTCGGTCATCTTATTCAGAAGGGAACTGAAAGAGTCGCCGTTTACAAGATCGCAATTTACTCAAAAGCGGTTGTGAATTTAAAAAGTTTCGCACGGATAAAATTAGTTTCCTTTGAGTAACTGTGAATATTGAAAATTGAAGAAAAGGTTCTTTGTCCACTTGTCCATTAGGGAAGCGGAAAGCATGGATGGATGGAGCATCGATGACGAACTTAATCTTATCTGATAAGGGATTTCAAGTTTTAAACCCTTTTTTCAGTCTTTAAATGATCCAAATCCACCAACAAGTTTAAAACACTAATTCCAAAAATGCGTAGCTCCTGATGAAGTGTCGATTAGTGCCAAAAACGCGAATCTCGGCATTTCTGCCGTATTTTCTAACAGTTCGAGAAATTATTAAAACTGCTGATGGAGTTTGAAAAAACATCTTATTCTTGTTATCCTCAAGAATTATTACTTTTCTACCGACAGTAAAGAGGAATGCAGACAGTTTTTTTACTCTCCTGGAAAATCGTGTTTTCCGAGATTCGCACTTCTGCACTTTCACCATCGATAAAGTGCGTTAGTATTGTTTAATTAACATTTGCACAGGCAGTGATTGTGATTGTTCAGTCAGTAATTTTTTTTCTCAGTTATTTCTTCAAAAACATTCTCAGGTATATATGTTGCAGGCAATCAGCGATCGCCGGCAAATTGCAATCTATTCGTGTTTAATCAACAAATTAAATCGTTTTAAAGTGAAAAAACGAGATTGGAAGTAGGGATTATTATGCTTTGAATTCAAACATACGTTAGCCCCTTCTTCTTGGATACATGGTACCAGCTAGCACACTCGCGAGTTCGTGAAATGTCATCAATAATCTGTGTTAGGTTCGGTTAAGCAACTAAACTACCTCCTTGGCAAAGCGGAGAGTATCGTTGGATTTGAAGGCGTAAAGAAATCTTTACCATATCGATGTTATCGTAATTACAATTTGACGAATTGACAAGTACGGAGCTTGCAAATTGCCGGCGATTGCTGACTCCCTTGCGACTTATACACTGATAAATATTTCAGAGATATTTATTTCCATCTTAAAGTTTGCATGTACTTTTCTCTCTTCTAATCAGCATGTGTGTTTCTTTTTTGTTTCTGGTGCATCCCTCGGAATTCTTGGATTCAAAAATCGATGATCTTCCTGGACAACGCAAATCGTCAATTAAAAAATTGGGAGCGTTCAATTAAACGGGACACTTGATTCACACTCAACTGAAACTTTAAATTAACTGGAAATTCAAATTTACCACAAATCCTTCTCAACCGAAAACCTGATCTAACCCTGCTAACCAAAACTTTACTCAACCGGTGATCTTACCCACCGGAAACTCAAATCAATCGACCAATCGTCCGGCCGAATTTTACTTAACCGGAAATCGACAACCTTAAACTCTGCTCGACCGAAAACGTGCTCCAATCGAAAACTTGACCCAACTGGAAATTCGATCAAACCTGAAATCTGACTCATCCCAAAATTCCAATTCACTGGAACCGTAATCCATCCGTATATGACGTGACCGGAAATTAACCCAACTCGAAACTGTTTCCAACCGGTAACGTGTCCCTGTCGAAAATTTGACTCGACTGAAAATTTGATTCGATCGGAGATCTGACCGACCGGAAACCACAATCAACGGGATTCCTTATCCACCCGAAATTTCACTTGACCGGAAATTGAAAATCTTAATTTCTACTTCACTGGAAATGTGCCCCAATCGAAATCTTGACTCAACTGGAAAGCGACCCGACCGGAAATGTGTTTAAACCCAAAATTTAGTTGTTCTCAGATGGAGAATAACAAATTTCAATATCAATATATCCCCGTTAAAAATCGATTCTACAAGAAAAAATATGTAGGTGTCGGTGTACTACAGTCATATTAGGTTTATTTAGTCATCCATGGATCAAAAATGAACAATTTCAATCTCGAAACATCGTCGATTTTCCGTAAAGAATGTTTAAAAATTGATTTAACCCATCCCACAACATTACTCAACACACAACTTAATGGGACTCGTCAACATTAAAACTCGATTTTGCGTGTAAAAATGCGGAGGAGCCGGTGTATGTGTAAACAACGATAACAATCCCGTAGACACCTCAATTCAACAAGAAAATAGCGAAAAATAAGCCCGGCAGAGTTTGACCCCTTTGCCCCCCTTTGTAACTCGAAAACGGTTCCTATACTCATCTTGAAATTTTTTCCTGAGTTTTCTGTTATTATAAGCTTCCATTTAAACCTTGGTTCGATGGTCGAATCAAATACCTAAAAAGGGGCCAAATTTTGGGAGGCTCTTTTGAGACACAACAATGGAGGAGCTTGGAGGACAAGGGGCATACGTGGAGTTTTTGCTATTCCGAGAAATACGTGTTTGAAGTTCCGAAATTATATGGATCCTTATGAAGGAAAGAAAGTTCAAACTGACATTTTGATACTTAAAAATTGGAATTTGGAAGCGAATTTTTCACAGAATATGCAATAAAACTAGTTTTACTTGATATCGTTAATATCTCAATTTTTTCAAAAACTGCTTTTATGCGCCTTGTCCTCCAAGCACCTCGATGGAACTATACGAGGTTTTGCAATTTGGTCATTGATGTGATACTGCGTCTTGACTGGAAATTTTCTGCTGTCAGAGTATTAATTTGTTGGTCTGTTGGAATTTTTTCCCGCTAACGTGCGTTAAAAAACTCAGCATTTAGCTGAAAATTCTCACTACAGAGGGAATAACTCCTTTAGAGTACTGGATTCCCTCAAAGAGATGTGCCCCCCTCTGTAGTGAGAATTTTCAGCTGAATGCTGAGTTTTTTAACGCACGTTAGCGGGAAAAAATTCCAACAGACTAACGACCCGTGCATCCACCGCAATCAGTTTGTGTATTAATTCGTTGCTTTCTTTTTCGGACAAGCAGGAAAGTATCGCCGCTCCTCTTCCCTACGTAACGCGACTAAACGCTCCGCCGAGAATCCAAAACCCCACCGAAAATGAAGTATCATCGGGCCCAAACCCGAATAATGCAGAATTCTACCAGGAACTCCAAAGGCTAAAGGACAGCGCTGCCGGATTTCAGAATCAAATCGTCAATTTTACGGCGGTCCTATCGTCTCAGTTGCAACCCGGGTCCGCGCTTTGGAATCTCACTGATGACGTAATCAAAAGCGCAACGAACAGGGTGATATCCTACATCGAAAGTGTGGAGGCTTCCGGGGCAGAATTTCTAGCCAATGCGACACGTGCTGTCGGTGGTCAGATGCAGCAGGGGAAGAAGATCCTCGATGACAAGCTTATGTACGCCCAAAAAACCGTCGAGGGCTTGAAGAAGAAGAACGAGGAGATGTTCCGTGACGGCATGTCGTACCTGGAGAACCTCGAGAGCAACTTGAAGGCGAATCTGATGAGGGACACGCGATTAGCGATCGAGTCTGGGAATGATTCGAGCGATCCGAAAGTAAATTTTTCTTAATGTTTGGTTTTTCAAGAGGAGTCTTGTAAGTTTTTATAATTTCACCGGTAAAAAAACCTCTTGGTTCAAGAGTGCAGTTTCTTGTCGCCGGATTTAAGAGTCTGGACTGAATTAATGCAAAATCCGCTTGGAACAAGAGTTCAAGACTCTTAAATCCGGCGACAAGAAACTGCATTCTTAAGTCAATGCACCGCGGCATTGGTCCAAGGGTTTTTTTTTACCAGTGTGTGTGGTCTCCAGTTATCTGCATGATTGAGACTCGAGGTTATGTTGGTATTGAAAACCACAGATAATTCAAATTCATTATTATATCCGAAAAATTACTAAAAATATACTAACTAGTTTGCAAATTAAAAATTAGATTGATTTATTTTTTTAATTTACATTTTCGTGGCGAACTTTAAGGGTTCGTCTCCCATTTAGAGAGACAAAAAATATGGTAAAAAAAAACTGTAGGTGCCACTGGTAGTCACCAATATCGCCGGCAATTTACAAAGAGCATGCGTGTCGAATCATCAAATGCAATAATTTGCATTGATACAACAAATTTTTCATACGTTAAGAACTTCGAAAGCAGAGCGCCTTCAGTTCTCCGAGATACTTCCCACTTTCCCACGCAATTAGTTCAGTTGCATATCCGAACCAAATCCAACTAGGTTCACTAATTCCAATACTACACACATGTGTTACTTAGCAAGTGCTTAGCTTTTCAAGTGTGCTTAAGAGCACTTTGCATTCAAGAAGAAAACAAATATGTTTCTATTACAACAAATATGTCGTCACCTCCCGGCTGAAGTATCATAAGCGCCATGCGCGGCTTAAAAATTTCCGCCACCATTTTATTTTTTTAGAGAGAAGGAATTGTTTGAATCTGTTCGAAAATTTCACCGAATATCATCGGCAGCACAAAGAAAATTCAGTAAAATTTTCAAGCAGCTTCGTTGAACAATTTCACTGGTAAAAAATAAAATGGCGGCGGAGACTTTTAAATGTCGCATGGCGCTTGTGATACTTTGGCCGGAAGGTGGCGATATACTCTCTATTTTGTTTCTTCAATTCGAAATTTGGACATGCTTTTATTCAACACAAATAGATTGCAATTTGTCGGTGATCGTGAATTGCCTAGGACATACGGTGGATCTTACTTTCCACCGCAAAACGCAGGGAATAAAACACATTTTGGAATACAAATTTTGGTGATTTTTCAGGGATTTCGAAGAAGATTCCACAGTTTGGGCATAATTACCGAGGCAGAGTGTATGATTGAAAATTTTGTGTATTGATTGCAGTTCCAATCCATTTGAAAGTCTTTACCGAGACTGCTGGGGAAAAATTGTCAGGTTGAAGAGTAGCTAATGAATAACGCCTGATTTCGCCGTTTTCCTCACGAAAGGAAGTAACGAAATTTCAATGTTGCCAAATTTCCTCTGGAAAATTGCATTTTTACTAAGAGAATTTCACGAATTTCTGGCTAAAATTTACACTTATTTTTCTTCTGATATCGTGCAAACATTAGGAAAATGTTCGATAAAAATTGCACAGGTTTATATTTGTATGAAATTAAATTTTTGGAATCAATTTTGCAATTTTGGAATGGAGTTGCGTTCCTTCGTTCGGGGAACAACGATTCGCAATATTCAGAGCCTCTTGATAGTTCCGAGTGATAATCTCAAAGTCGATATGTTTTCAGTCAATAAATTTTGATTTTTAATTTTAATTTTATGTTTTTACCCATAGAAATTTGAGGACGAAAATCAACATCTACAGCGTCGTTCGCAGCCCGAGCCAAACTCATTCGTTCTCGAGCAAATGAACGGCATCAGCGACTCAGGCGCCGGTGTGCTGAGAGGGGTCACCGCCTTGTCAACCGGAACCATCATCGGAATTCTCGACGCCATATCATCGATTTTCAGCACCACTACCCAGGTGAGCTATCACGCGAAGAGGGCCTTAAGCAGCATCAATAGATCCGGGACAAATGCCGTCACTTCGGTGATCGGAACGGCGGGGGCCATCGTCAGCGGAACTTTGGATAAAACTGGTCAGGTTATAAACGCCATGAGGTTCGCGCCACGGCGACCAATCAACGATCACGAAGCCAACGTCCAAGGGGGTAGTGAGTCCCAACGTGCACTAACTCTTAGCTTCCCGGCTCCACCAAGGAACTTACTTCCTCCGGATGATGATTCTGATGCTTCTGATGAGGCGGCGAGCCAGCCTAAAGCGAATTTAACTCTAGTGCGAGATGAAAAATTTGATTCATCTAGAGCCATGCCCGATAATCTCCAAAATTACGAAAGTCGTCCTCCAGGGACGGTGACTCGAACTGGAGAAGGGTCTACCACCGATTCTCAAATTTCACAGAGTCCGGAATCTCAGTCTCAAAGGGTGCCTTCGTCCGAAAACGAAGATGAAAAAGCAGAAACTTCTGATAACGCTTCAAGAGGAACGAAGCATTCTGATGAGCACGATATAAGACAAGAAAATTCCGAAAATCGCAATCAGAAAACGAATAGAACCAATAGCGAGACTGGCGGATCGGAACCTCCCGTTGATCGAGATATAGGATCGGGAACTTCGGATGCGATACCTCAAAAAATGGTAAAAAATGATGCACTGGAAAAACGGCCGGAAAAAACCGACGAACTCCATCAAGAATCGGAGGGTTTGACAAACCGCACTGACAAAGAGCAGGCTGCTAATCCCGTTCAAGGAGCGATGGTCACTAGCAATCGCTCTGGAAAATCAGGAGCCGTAGATAGACAATCTTCGGCCTTTGAAACTTCTGAAGGCCTTCCTGACAGTGTAGCTCAGAAGGAGCCAGAAACTTTAAACCAACAACAGTCACAATTGAAAACGCTCGATAAATCGTCCAAAAACCACGAACAAGATTCAAAAATTGTAGGCGGTCGTCTTGTGGAGCTAAAACCTGTCAACGAACATTCTTCAGACTTGGGAATTTCAGGAGGCTCTGCTAATAGTCATTTTCAAGTTCCGGAAGCTGCAAATAATCACTTGGGTGAGCTACAGGCACCGAATGAACAGCTACCAGAACCCGCGAATTCTGGAAATTCTTTGAGGAAACATATTCAACAGCAGGGAGCTGTAGATGGTCAATCTGCAGGACCAGTGACTGTAGATGAAAACTCTTCAAAATCGGCAGCTTTTAAAAGCTCTTCCAACAACTATCCCCAAGAGCAGACAGTAATAGATGATCTTTCCACACGACCAGAACATTTAAAGAGTTCTTCTGATAGTCTTACGCACGATCCAGGTAATGAAGGCCCAGAGGGACAAGTTTCAGGTGAAAATCGGTCAGAGTCATCAATTTCTATCAGTTCTACAAACAATCAAACAGAAGAGTTAAAAGCTGCAAATGATCCTGCAGATCTAAAAACCACAGAGGAGCGATCGCCGAACTACCAAACTTTTGGAGGCACTTCTGACACTCATTCTGAAGATTATAGAGCTCCCGATACTGGCTTTAAAGGACCAGAAACATCAAATAAAGAACTATCAAAATCAGCAAATTCTGAGCATTCTCCCGACGATCACATACGAGATCAGAAATCTGCAGAAGATCGACCAGATTTAGATACAAAACTTTCGGAATCCTCAACCTCAAATAGTACACCCAACAATCGTGTCCAAAATGAGAGCCAGTCAGATGATAGCTCTATAGGTTCAAAAGTTTCAAATAATCAACCCTTAAGATTCGCGAACTCTAACGCTCAGACTCCAGGATTAATAGGTGCAGAAGACATTGCAGAAAAATCAGGCACCTCGGAAAAATACTCACCAGAAACGGTGCCTTCCAACAACCACGCCGATGTCCCAGACACTTCAGGGAAAACTGCTTCCGGACCTGGTGGTTCACCCTTCCATCCTCAAGAATCCTTAGTTCCTAGCAGTTTGTCTAATAATCATAGCTCCGCACCGAAAAATTCCGATGATAGTCCGCGAGTATCTCATACTTCGGAACTTCATGCTTCGGAAGCATCAACATCTGATAATCCCGCTGAAAATCAAAGTAAACCGTCGGACGCAAATGATCACCCTCCAGTTGAAAAATTAGTCGATCCATCAAACAGGTTTTCAACCCCTGAAAGTCATTTTCAAAGGCCAGACTCTTTGGATGATCCGTCCAAGAGATCAGACGACTCGAATAAATCAGCGAAAGAAGTAGCTTCAACTGTCGATGACACCACTAAAATATCAGAGAGTCCCTCAGATCCTACACTAAATACCACTAATGACACTCAACAAGACCTAGAGGGAGGTTTGCAGAAAGCTGATTTTAGTGAGAAAAATCAGCATGATAAAGTAGGCGACACCTCGCCGTTTTCCAACGATGGTGAATCGTCATCTTATAATACTGGTCAAGGACCATGGGCCGATCGAACACATGACAGAGGAACCCATAGTGATGAAAAACATCGAATTTTGAATAGTGGTTCAAATAACAATGATCATATCGAAAAGAAAGGTGGTGCTGAATTGATGAGCATTAGCAGTAACGAGGCGTCAACGGAGGAATCTACAAGCGCAGTGATGGAAGCTGAAAGCTCGGAATCAGAAAAAACTGTGAGAGAAAATTTAGAGTTTTTAGGAAACACTTCGAAAGACAAGAATAATAATGATATCTCCGTTTAAACAGCGGGAGAATATCTTGATCACACCCCTTGATCAGGAGCGAAACGTGGATGATCGATTATCGATACTTCCTCATTTGAAGTTATGGTGAAAAATCGATCATTGACGTGTTTGTTTCGAACATTCTGTATAAAGATTCTTCTCCAGAGGTTTAAATGGTAGATCAATCGATATATCGCAAAACACGCCACGCCACTGTCAATGACGACTTGACAAGGCATGACGTCGGAAGAACAAAATCTTAACTGTTTTTAATCAAATTTAGAAGTTGTAATTTTTTTTATTATACTTTATTTTATTTTATTTTACTTTTCAGTGTACTTAGTTAGGCGAAATTTTTGATTTTTTGGAGCGAAAATCGTCTCATATCACAATTGTGCATTTAGTTTAACTATATGAGACTGAGCGACTACATGTGTTTCTAATATTTTGTGTGCGCCTTCAATCGTCACACCGGCAATTTATTGTACATGAAAATAATCACCGTTTACAACTAGAATTATTTCTAAACGGGGTCTGCTTGTGATTTTGAAAAGCAGACTTTTTGAATTCATACTTGCAAAAGTTACAAATTTTTAGTTCCATAATGTGCAAGGATTCATACTATATTCGTTCTACAATTTTCTCTACATTACATTTTTATAACTAAGAACATCGTAAAAAGAAACAGATTACGGCGTTTAGATTGTGAATTATCTTATAAAATAAAGTGATCTGTGATGTAATACTAAAGAGACCTTATAATTCGGGAGTTAAAGCACCCTGAGACTACAAATACATCAATTCCTTTTTTTCGATTTTAAAAAATCGTGTAACGCACATAATTATTTAATCCCCACCAGTAGAATTAAAAAATCGGTTATTCTATTTTTTCCTGAACGTTGATTTCTCGCCTTGGAGTTGATTCAGAAAATTTTCAAAATGTTATGCTTATCGCATGCATTTACAGGAGGTTTCTGTGATAAGATGCTTTAACCGTCGATCGTTCTATACTTTATGCATCCATTCCGGATATGAAGCGCGGTCAAATGGAGAAGTTAATACGAGGGTGATTACTTTTTCCGCTGGATAAAAATGCATTTTATATGCGTGCAACTGCCACGCACCAACACAACCACCCACGTGCCTGGACATAAATACATCATTGCAGACACATTCTAATGAGGGCAACTAGGTTTGACGGAGGTAGTCATGCATCGATGAGGATGACCACGTTAAGGGATGAAGTGCGGTTGCGCAAAGTGGACAAAATGTAAAAAGTCCAGGAAAAGAATAGGCTTTAGGAGAGAATCAACTTGAAACATTGTTAGATCACGAGAGATAATATGGACTACATTTTGCGATTGGAAACTAAAATTTCTCCTTCAGTTTAGAAAGAACGTATGAACCATTAGTTTACCGGTACTTATAATTGTTTTTACTGATGAGCCAGACATTGTAATTTTTAATTGCAGAATGATGTCCATTTAAAAGACGCAGTTATCAAGTAGTTGAGGTGTTTGGTGTGCCTACTGACAAACTTGCGAATCTTGTTTCAAGGAATTCTATGATTTAAATGTTTTGCCCATTATCGTCAAACAGGACTGTTTGCGCCCTTAAGGACCTCTCCACTCACAGATTTTCTCTTCAAGCCAACATGGACACATACCCACTTATCTCTGATGATCCTTGCGTTGCAACTAAAAGTTTAAATTTTACATCTTTTAAGTTGAATATCTAATTTATTACAATTTTACTCACACTTTCTCGAATTCTCAAAGCTTTTCTCGGTAGCCTCAGTAGCTGAAAGAATCTTCAAACAATAATTCCTGTAATTACCCCAGTTGGCAATGTATCATCTGAGACCATGTATGTCTATACACGCAAGTTAGCAAGTCAGTTATTATTTTTTTAGAGACGTTTACCTACTGATTCTAGTAATTCCTTAACAGAATTTGTGAAAGTGTAAGTAAAGTACGAAACATTTAGATTTTTAATTTAATAGATGTTTACTATATACAATATTCTGTTCAGGATAGAAGTAGCGTATAGTGGAATAATTTCAAATAAATTAGTTGTACGTGTTCAAAAAACACGCGATATTTGACGGCTTCCGACAGATTCCAAAATGTATTTAAAATTTTTTAATATAGTTAGAAATGCCAAGAATCTTCGTTACAAATCCTCTTAAGATATCTTATTCCCGGTTTCGTCCAGTACTACCTACACTGCGGTCGACAACCCTCCAAGAGCTGCCCACCGACCACTGTGTGCGTCGGTGTGGCGTTCGTGGTTGTTACGGTGTGTGAAATGTGAATCGAAGGCAATTAAACGCATATTAATGCTCTAAATCAACGACACCTTTCATTGCTCAAATGACCGTGCTCACCTGTAGTGTTTCGGCACATTAATTCGAGCTAATGCTTTTTATTCACTCGTTCACAATGGTTTTATCTTCCTATCAAGAAGTTTCAATTAACGTCTGTCGGTCGGCTCTTGCCTGCCAGTTCACTGGTAATTTATCCCCTCGGCACATGATTCGATACCACGCTGCCTTTTTAATTACTTTGTGTTTTACTCACGCTGGACCGCTGGACAGGGTGTGGGAATCTAAAGATCACAAAATACATGTATGCGCAATGCGCTACGAAATTTCATGCACAACTTGTTGAACGCACCAAGGCGACGCGTATCACTGGAATTTACCAAACTGCGTTTGGATTTTTTTTTGATTATTATTTAAAGTTCCTTTAATAAGAAAAACTTGAAAAAATATACATTTTTACAAAAGGCACTTTCTTATAATAAAACGGCAATTTAAATAATGAGGCAACTGAGTAAAAAAAAGGTTTAAGGGAGGAGAAATACCGGAATGGTAATTTTATGCATATAATCAGTACCTTCGGTTGGATTGTATTCTGCAAAACAGGGCCGGATTTAGGGGGTGGCTACATGGGCCGCGGCCCATGGCGGCAAATTTAGGGGGCGGCAAAATTTGCAATTTTTTTAAATGTAGTTATAAAGAAAACTCGGATTCAGAAGAAAAATATACAAACGAGAAAAGGTGACAAAATCTCTCATTTCCTGAGAGTTTATCTCTGGATTTCTGGTCTTTCTGTGATACAATAGACATGACCTCTAATTTGTCGAGTTAAGACTAAGAGAGAAACCGAACACGGAATTTGGCCTGGAACAGCGCGGCGCAGAGAGCAATGATGACGAGAACTTGAGATGAAAAGGAGAAACCCTTGGCGCGGCGGTCGGCATGTAACACACATTAGCGCCTACAAGACTGCATGGATACTTCACGCATTGCGTCAAAGACAGTACGTGCAGCAGCGGGCGGCGTGAAACGCATAGCGCCTAAAAGACTGCGTGAATACTTCACGCATTGCGTCAAACACAGTGCGTGCAGCAGCGGTCGGCGTGGAACGCATAACACATATATGACTGTGGGAATACTTCACACATTGCGTCGAACACAGTGCGGTCAGCGCGGCGCAGCGGCGGAAGTTAAAATTATTAAACCACATTTATGTTTGTTCTTTCATAATTTTTTCGTTCATTTCATATAAGTGGAAGGCCTGGTCCACACAGAGATATTTTTACGGAACTTAATTTTCGCGCAAAGTTCCGAAAACTTTTGCTAGTAGTGTTGACAGGGCTTTCGCAAAAAAATATGTCCAACACGAGTAAACGCGTCTTATGCACCCCTTCTCCTCCGGCACGTTCACTTGATGGTTTTTACTGATGATGTTTCAAAACGAATGAAAAGGGGGCGGCAAAATACAGGCGGCCCATGGGCGGCAATTGAATAAATCCGGCCCTGCTGCAAAAAGGAACGAAATCATTCCAGTGTTGCTAAGATTGTGTAACCTACATTCTTCGCTATAAGATTACTGAAGTCATGCAAAATATCTTACAAAGGTAATTTTCGTCTCAAAATAATTTATTGAGAGTAATTTATCTCTCGATAGTTTAGTTGATCAGTTCATATTTGCAAGAGGTATAAAATTTTGCACAATTTCGCGACGTTGGAATGCTCTTGGTTCCTTTTTGCAAAATGTAATCCATTTTACGTCGCCAAATCGTCTCTTATTCCTTATTTCATTAACAGGTGTGAATAACTCAACGCTTTTAAACTCTCTTCTATTTAAATTATGAAGAACACACTCTTCAAAGTTTCAGTATATGATCATGAAAAAAATTAGGACCGAGAAGGCTTGAAGCCATTTCTCCTTCCAGGAAATTTGCGTTATTTATTTAACTTTGACTTTTGAAATTCGCAGGTCTCATCGCTCTGTTCTGTAATCTGTATTGTAAGTGTCAGGTAGAAAAAAAAGAAGAAAAAAATTATACACTGCAGTGCCCAGAAAAAGTTCCATTTTTTGCGGTACTTCGAAACGCTGTATTGTTAAATTGAGTTTTGAACTCGAGCTAAAATTTTCCCCGGAGCACTGTCCCATCATACGAGTAAAATTTCGTTTAGGCCACATTTGAATGAAATCCCCGATATCTTCTTAAAAAGAGGGCACAAAAAACACTTCTTTTGACAGGCCCCTTACTGCTCAAAGCAACTTCCTCAGTAGCGAGGCGTGAATGATCGATAATCGATATTTACCCACTTGCAGCTATGGTAAAAGATCGATTATATAGGGTGATCCAGGGTTAAACGGCCAGACTGCAAGAGCCAAAACCCCTATTTAAATTGAGATTTCGAGTTTTTTTAGATCATTCATGAATTTAGCACATAAAAATACAAAAAAGTACACATTTTTAAGAGATTTGGTTCACAACCGATGCCTAAATTCAGGAGAAACGATTCACTTTCCGAAATCTTTTTTTTTTTTTGGGGGGGGGGGCATAGCTCCGACTGGGGACACTTTTTGAAAAAAAACTTTATACAACAAAAAAGTCTTTTTTTGACCCACAGAACACGCTCTTGCAGTCTGGCCGTTCAACTCTGGATCATCCTGTTTCACCCTCCGATCCTTTTCCATGGTTTTAAAAGGACCGCATTT